TTGCTCAACGTGAAACAAATCATGGAAGTAGTATTGAAGTGCAGCTATGACAACAGTCCACAAGGGGATTGTCAAACATGACTAGGATGAAAATTTGTGCCTGGATAAGAGTTTACGTATCGTTAGAAGTTTCCAATTATAGGTAGTAAGTTAACCACAAGGCTGTGTCTCTACAATCTTTTTTAAGTAGCGTAAAAATAATTTTAGCCCTCTGCACAACGGGTAAGTTTTAACATTTTTACTGCAAATATATATAGAAGTTGGACTGAAATAAGCTAATACGGAGAAACTGCCTCAATTAAAAACCTTTAAGTTATTGTTCCAAGCAAACCTTTGTTCTATTGTTCCACCAAGAACTGAAGCAATCTGCTCAGTCCTTCAACTCGCAATCAGTCGTTATTGAAACGCCAGGAAACAGTTCAGTGCGATTTTTTTTTTTTTTGTGGATGGTATTTTTATTCTGCAGTTTACTTGATCTCGGCTTCAAACCAGTACATTTTTCTTCAGGGAGCTTAAATGGTTTGGGCCAGGAAACCAAGGGCCGTTGAGCCGTTTCAATCAATGATCAATGCTATCCACCGCCTAAATTTAACTCACAAAATTAAATTTAATTGGAACCGTCACTCACCTTCAGACACTAAATAACCATCTCTGTTGCCCACCAGTGCTTGAATGCCAATGACCTGAAAGCCCAACTTCAAACAAGCTGGAAGATAAACCTGTAAAGCTAGAAATTGCCTTTGGTAAGTCCTGGGAACGGCTCGTGTTCCAAATTTCTGTGACCTGATTTCCCTTTTCAAACTGTCAACGACCAAACGGTCCAACACCGTTAGAATGAACATAATACTTCATAGAGTTGCATGAGAAACTGGAGAAAAACTTTTTTGCTGTAACGTCTCTAATAGAATGAAGCAAACAGGAAAAAACCCTGAAAAACTCCAATTAAAGCCTTTTATTAAACGTAAAAAGATTAGCTTAAAGCTAGCAAACATTGCTGGGCAAAACAAAAAATAAGAACTTACTATGAGATATGCAAATATTCTGTGTAATACATTTACTGGTATGCTTCCAGTGAATTAAGTAAATCTGAGGTATTATGCAATAGACTGCCAATGCAATTGCAAATTAGAGTTGAGCAACCAGGTGGCGCAAAATTGCAAGTTGTAGTTGGCATCAACCAGAGTCAGACACTAATCAAGATCTGTTTAAATTAATGACATATTTACTAGAGTTTTTTGCAAGTAAACATTTAAGATTTGTTCAGTGGATACCACTACATGGTGGGGGATGAGGATAAACTGTAATAAACTGGTCCTGTGGACATGTGTACTTTAAACAATGTACTGAGCTAGCTCGATAGATGCATATGAAGGTAGCTAGATACTTTATATAAATAGCTAGACAGATGGCTAGCCAGACAGATATCTAGATAGCTAGACAGATATGTAGCTAGCTGGCCAGATGGCTAAATAGCTAGATGGTTATATACTTTATAAAGTATAGATGGCTAGCTAGACGGATATCTAGATAGCTATAAATAGCTAGACATGTCTAGCTATTTACATAGCTAAACATCTATAGATAGCTAGATAGCTGTCTAGCTATCCATCTTTAGCTAGATAGATGGATAAATAGCTAAATAGATAGTTAGACAAATAGTTAGATGAACAGATAGCTGGAGTGTGTCCTAATTGTACACAAAGACGGCGAAGGGGGTGAGAACAGAGCACAGAAATGAACAGAACTTTTCAGTCTTGATGTTTCTGTGCAAAATATGCTTTTTTTATTGATGCGATACAATATTCTAATTTTGAGACACCAACTTTTAGGTTTTCATTATCTGTAAGCCACAATTATTAATTTTTTAAGAAATAAAGGTGTGAAATAAATCTGTGTAAATATTCTAAGTTGTTTGTTACGCTAGACAGTGTAATAAAATATAATGGTACCTCTAAGTCAGTGACGTGCGGTCAGGGAAGGCAGGTGAGGCGGAGCCTCACCTGTCATCATGGAAAAATAATATAATAATAAAACCATTTATATTGCTATTTTCACCC